ACTTGCTAACTGGTGGAGTGGCGACAGGTAGAGCTACAAGTTGCGGTTTTTATTTTTATAATGCTTTTACTAAGTATTAATTACTTGCAAACACGTGTTAGAACACATTTACTAATAAACTAAGTTTGCCAATATCATTCTGCTTATATCATCATGTCCAATTTGATAATAAAGTAAATATGGTTTAAAATTACATGAATAGGCATTTAAAACCTTAGTACATGTATTTAATTACCTTCTAAGGATTTAAATTAATAGAAAGATTAATATGATGTGAATTAGGTTTATTTAAAGTAAATTAAAGAAATACTGAAATGCAAATTTCTGAAGTATTAAATGTCAATGTCATTAAAATAAAATGGATGACAACTTAACAGAACTTCAGTATTCCGAATTATCGCGAACTTACATTGGCGGAGGTTAATTCTCTCGTTCATTTCCATGAGATTGTTCTTTTCAGCACATTCTGCGGCAATCAAAAATCTGTTTCCGATGCTTTATATACTCTTTACTCCTTCGAAATTTAGGGGGGGCTACGCCCCCCTAAATTATTTTTGAGGGGGCTTGAGCCCACCCAGGCCTTATGGAGTCGGCGCCCGTGCTATCTATTCATTTTAAATCAATAGCTTACAAAGTAAGCAATGGCGGCTGGTGAAAGAGCACTACGGGCTGTCGCAATCGGGTGCAAAGTTGTTTCAAAGAGAAAATTATGATATACCTACCACAGAATTAGTATTCTGTGGATATACGGAGAAACCAAGAACGGTTGACTACAACAGAGGATAGTTCCATCGTCCAAATTTGTCTGCCACTGCAACACGCGCTGTGACGTAGGTGTGGGGATGACAAGCAATTATCAACCTTATTGTTACTATTATGTAACTTTTATGGAAGATGAGCTTAATTTGAGATTAAAAAGTTTAAAACGAAAAATTTACGTTTTGTTTTTGTAAATCGATGGCAGATACTGAGATTTTTAGCAGTACGTAAGACATTCAGATTTATAAATTCGTAATGATCTTTTACATGGCAAATAAAATTTATTTTCGAAATAAATGCATTTGCTAGTGTTATAATTAAATTAATAATGTCAGTTTACTCTCAAAGTAAATATTTCTGGTAAATAAAATCTATAAATCCGTGTTTTAAAACTATTCAATACTGAACCACTTATTTCATAAACATAGATAGGTAAAACTAAACAGTATACAATACTAGGAAACTTAAGAAACATTCCCTACCGAACAATTTTATTTAATTTTCTAATTTTTGACCTAGTTGAATCCAACACGGATAAGTTTTTTGCTTCAAATTTTCAGCTTCCTTGAATTTTAAATTTCTATAATTTATTCAAATTATTGTTCTAAAGTTTACGAAGGTTTTTAGTAAGCGTATATGGCAACACTTTTTCTTTTTTTCAAATCCTTTTTGAAATGTTTCCAACAACTCCATTATTTTTCCTATATGTATCAATATATTTTTCATAATATTTATTCCATAATTTTATTTTTATGAACCACTCATCTGTACGCTTGATAAGACCTCCATAAGAGAGTTGGTGCACCCATGATGGTAAACTATAACTATGTTCACTAACTTTGTATGTGAAATTACCTAAATCAGGTAAACTATCTTTAAATTTTTTTGCTAAATATCCAACGATGTATTCTAAAGCATCTTCTGTAGTTTCCTGCAAATCACTGACAACACAATATGAGGTGGCAGACTAATTAGAAGATGATTCTTGGGAAGAGAAAGAACTACTATTGTTAGATAAATCAGGTTCTTCTATTTTTTCTTGAGGAATTTTAAGATTGGCTTTTTGGAATACTTTTGAACTAATATATTGATCCACACTCAGAACTAAGTGCAATTTGGTTTGTGGTTAACACTTTATTTAACAAAATTTCAGCAAAAATTTCAGTTTTTTTTTATTTTTGCTGAACATTCATATTTTTTGCTTTAGAATACCTCAACTGACTTGTGATGACTTGTAAACTTTTTATTTTCATTTGACATTTTTTCTTCAAATTGGAATGATAAGCTATTAATTTTTCATACTTGTTTAATAATTCGTTGTATTTTGCTTCAAAATCTACTTCAGACTTTAAATCTATATTGTCACCAGCTTGTTCAAAAATTATTTCAGATTCAGTAATAGTATGTTCATGTCGATTAGATGCAATATTCAAAATATTTGAATCAACCTTTGTAATTTCTGCTACGAGTTTCTTTCTGTTTCTTACATCTAATCTACCTTCCGAAGTATAGACAGGAGGAGTGTCAAAGGTATGTTTATATAAACAGAGTGTTGAAACTGCAGTTTTCTTTAAAAGGCGTTTAGTAGGTAAACCTAAAATAAGTTGCGTTAAAAAATTTTATAGGTATTTTATTGCTTTTTTATTTTACTTATAATTCATTTTGAAGATCTCTTTCATAGTCATTGCTTGTAACATGAACAGAGCATATTCTACTAGAATCAGGATTAAAATTATCAGCTCTTCTACATCGGTCAACTCATTCAGCCCTTATAGTTTTCGACACTAAATCCTTTCCTTTTGGAAAACTGCAAAATAACAGGATATTCTTGGTTTTCGCACTCTTAAAGTTATTGTCACAACCATATATGTCACATCTATTACCACCCATTTTATTTATACAAGTAAATTGATATAGAAACAATAATCAAATAGTCTTATAAGACAGTTAAATCGCTAGTTCCAAGAAAAAATTGGCAGCAGGCACAACTATTCTATATAAAACAATAAGAAATGTCAACCACGAATCCCCACGCCTACGTCACACTCAACACAACTCATTTCTTATATTATTAGAGCATAGGACAAAATCAATCCTATCTGTGTTTAGTGTCCTTGGGAAGAAACTACCTTTAGAAGCCATTGATATCTTCTGTAATGCATTTACAATAGTTAAAAAATATGCCATGATATTGGAATCGACAATATTTTACTCACGGTCCGAAAAAACATTGGAAAATGAAGATGGAAATGCTTACGTACTTTAATTTAATAGTGTTATATTGTTCGGATTCAACATTTTGTGAAATAAGTAAACTTTTGGTTATTTTAACAAAGATACCAATGATAACTGCAGAAACTGAAACTTGTTTCTCTACTTTGAACTTGATAAATACATTTTTAAGGAATTACATTATCAGAAGAAAGACTGATGGCACTTGCCATGTTGTCCATCGAAAAGAATATGGCTGTAGAAATTTCTAACTTCAACAGAAGGATTAAGTTTCATTTTCAGGGGTAGACTTTTGGTAAATACCTTTCTTTAGCATTCCCCCGAACAAAATTATAACCAACCATAACTGAAAGTAAGGTATACAGTGGGCAACCAAATATCATGACCATTGGTCTAAATTTACGCAAATAAATAATGTAATAAATATGTAATATAATAAATATATATATATATATATATATATATATATATATATATATAATATAATAAATAATAATCATTTTCAATTACCTAACAACTCCATATTAATTTCATTTGACGTAAAAAATCTTTTTCCTAGTATCCCTCCTACAGAAACTTTTATTCTAGTAAAATACTTTTTAGACCAAAATAGTACAAATCCAATAATTACATCTGAAATTTTACAGCTTCTTCAAGTTTGCATAAACCAGGACTACTTTGAATTTAATAATCAAATATATACAAATAACAGTGCAGGACTTATAATGGGCAATCCTCTAAGCCCATGTCTATCAGATATTTTTATGGATCTTTTAGAGTCAAAGATTTCAAAACATCCCGTATTTAAACATTTTTTATATTGGTGGAGATACGTAGACGACGTACTAGTATGTTTTACAAGAACTAACAGGCAACTCGACCAATTTTTATCGTATATTAATTCACTTCATAGTCATTTTGAATTTACAATAGATACAGAACAAAATCAATCCATAAATTTTTTAGATTTAAAAATTATCAGACTTAAAAACAAACATGACTTCTCCATATTTCAGCGTATCATAGTATGTTACATAGATTAACAGAAATTCCGATGTCAAAATACAACTTTGAGACAGAATTAAATATAATTAAGCAAATAGCAGTAAACAACGGATACAATGAACAAACAATTAATAAAATGTTAAATCAAAAATTACACAAGAAAGCCCTGAAATTAGTATTTCCACCACCAGAGAAAAAACCCAGTACCTTCTGCTCGATTACATATACATGCAAAATATCAACCAAAATAGCTAAACACATAAAAAAGAAAGGAATAACACTAGCTTTCCGAACAAATAACAACCTAGGCAAATACATATATCAAAAACAACAAGAGCCAAAATAAAAAACACTTACACAGTGGTGTGTACAAACTTAAATGTGGCGACTGCCCAAAAACTTACATCGGTCAAACTGGTAGAAACTTTAATAAACGAATAGCAGAACATAGAAGGGCTTTCAATAATAGAAAAACAGATTCTACATACGCACTTCACCTTCTAGATCACAATCATTCTTTTAATGACGAATTTAAAATTCTTCACATTCAAAATAAAGGCCTTAAACTATCCTTGTTAGAATCTATGGAAATAAACAAATTAAAAAACACACATATAATTCTGAATGACCATCTTGAGACAAACAGTTCTCCCCTCCTCAACCTATTTCATTAGAGATTATAAAGTGTAAACGCATGCCAAAAATAGATCACTTGAGAAAGGCAATCAGCCGAAACAGCTGTAATGATAAGAGTTAAAATAAATTTTGTGGAAGTTTGAAAACAAAGTTTTCAGTGTTTTATTGTTAATAAATATGTTTTTAGAAATCTGAACGAGAAAAATTAATAATACCAGCAAAATGTTTGTCAGGTTTATCCAAAAATGTCAACAAGCAATAAATAACAACTGTTCGTGTATTGTGTATGTGTGTTGTGTGTTGCGTATGTATTATGTACCATTGAAGATGATGTGACTCAATTTTTATTAATATTTAATTATGCTTACCTTTACCAAAACATCTCTAACATATTCAGGATCCAATATCAAGAGTGTAGGCCTGGCTATTGTGAAGAATCCTCCAATCTTCCATCCTTTCTCCCTCATTTTCGTGTAACAGCTATCTAAAATTCCTACGGGATACCCTTTAGCCTTAGCGAACATAGAAATACAGTTTCCGTATGGAAACTTCGGCTCTAGATAAGGTACTCCTTTTTTAGACCAGTATGTGTACGAATACAGGAAATACGCGTATAATGATACTGCTGCTACGAGAAGTAGAGAGATTCCGTATCCAAGGAAGGTAAGAACCAAGCTCATTTTGATAGGCTCTGGAAAAAGACAGTCGGGGTTATATAAAGGATACAAAAGTGCCGTGTTGGCCATAATAAATAGCACTGAAACATTTTAGGCCGTGCGCTAGCCTATTCAACTTTATTTTGCCATTAGTTGTAGACGTTTTTTGAATTTAATATGATGTAACGTAAAAGCTAATTTCAACGTTCTCTATTTAACGGTTGCATCTGTTAAGGCCGGTTTTCTCGCTACATCTGATTGTATTATACCTTTTGTTTGATAAGACAAATCCTATACATTAAAACGTGGCATGTAAACAGCAAAACGCACGTCTTGTCGAATCGAAATGAAATCCAAGGTCAGATCGCAGAAATAATGGGAGAAGCATAGTTTTGCGAGAACAGACAGGATAAAACGTTATGTGAAAATACATATTCAGTCGTCCGATCTTAACTCAGTTGACGACTAGTCTTAAAGTGACTAGTCTATACAGAGTAAATGCACAACATCGATGCCATACTTCGTTGCAAACTTGTATTAAAATAAACGTCACTTCTTACTACTTAGCCTAATCCAACTTTTGTGTTGAGGGTAGCTTAAGTACTAATGCCCACTAACGACCCTGCCTGGCTTCCTTCTGTCAGTGGTTCTCAAACATAAATAATATTTGCTACGACATACTTGGTTTAAATTAAAATAAAATAGAAATTAAGAAAAGCCTTTTATTTATATCACACAAGCAGTTTGTTTTTAATTCTACAGTATGTGCTAGCGATACAAACCATTTGTTTATAGATTTAAATAAAATCGAATAAAATAAAACTAAAATTTAAAGAAACATTTTATTTCTGTCTTTGTTGTACTTGTTGTCACAAAAATTACCAACCTTTCGCTTCTTGGGCCTGCTCTTTGGAGATTATAATCCAGCAGGTGATGAATATTCCTGTCGTATGCGAAACAGAGTCTTTTCGCAAACACCACTCATTTCTGACACTTTCCTAATTACACTTGATACAGAATCGTTGTTATCCTGATTAAGAAGATAATTAACAATATTCATTATATCTTCTTCTCTGAAAGTTTCAGAGCTTTTCCACGTTTCCATTGAACAATTTCCTCCATTTTGGGGTAAAAATTCGGTGTCAAAATCTACCAATAGCCAACAACAGAAGATAACAATAATTGCCAATAGCAAATCACAACAATAGCCACCAACAAATAATAACAATAACAAAACAGTAACAGTACATCCAAGATGGTACAAATAATCGTAACTCCGCCGCGTTATCGGCAAGTAACGTGTTAAAAGTTTAACTGTGTCTGTAATATGTGCAATGGAACATTTATACTTTTAGATTTGTCTTCTTCTTCTTTAGGTACCATCTCCTCTAAGGAGGGTGGTAATCATCACAGCTATTTTCACTTTTGAGATTGCAGCTCCTGGTGGAGGAGGTTTAACGGCGGATCGTTACATCAGAGATATTTTGGAGGAACATGTGGTTCCGTAAGCGGGATTTATTGGTAATGCCTTTATTTTATTACATAATAATGCACGACGTAATACCGCACGAGTCACCACCACCTATCTGACTGAGATCGGTATACCTACAATAAATTGGCCTGTGTTGAGTCCGGACATAAATCCAATACAGCATGTTTGGGATGAGCTTAAACGAAGGGTACGGAGCAAAAATCATGCACCAAGTAGCATAATGGAATTGAGAGCTGCGCTTAATGATGAATGGGAAGCAATGCCTCAAGAAAAAAATTCATTTTGTAATTTATGATTTCTCTGTTCATTACGTCTTTCTTGGGATAGTTCCAATGATGAATATTTGAGAAACTCTATTCGTATTGCATATTGTTTTTATAATGCGTCTTCCAAATAATAAAATAGCAGTTTTTGTAAGTTCAATAATAAAGTTACTATTTGCACATTATATCTTGTTATATTCATACTTCTTACATTAAAACAGAAGGTGTAATCTCAAATATCGCTTTTGAGTCGATTGTTTTGCACTTAGATTGAACATTAAGGGGTAGAGTATGCAACCTTCCCTAACGCCTCTTTTTATCTCTACTTCCTGCGAAAGATATCTGCCGACTCTGACTAGATTTGTCTAATAAATGAGAAATAAAATACGTGTATATTAAATCGACATTAAAAAGGGTACGTAGATAATTAAGGCTTAATTACAGCACAAAGTACAAGTTTTAGAAGTTAGTGTTATTACATCATTCAGAAATGTTTTTGATTACAGTGTACTGTTGATTGATTCAATCAACGATTGTACTTATTTTTTAGTTGGACGACAACCTTCATAATATTGCTACACATTTTTTATTTCCGGTCATTTTACGCAGGCTATTTTAATACATAATTAGAATGATTTATTTGTATATTTAACTCCATTTGACAAAATTTGTAAGTTTTAGGTAACAAATTCTTGTCACTAAACGATGTAACTTCTCAGTAATCAATGTAAAGACAGAACCAACTGCAGACTGTGGTTCCGACCACAAAATCTTCCAAGGCAAAGTTCTGCATTAAGCTGCAGAAAAGGAAATGAGAAATAAAAGACAAAATTTGGTTTCAAAACAACCAGAAATTTTAGAGAAGATTTTGCGAACGCTGAGCTAACAAACACCATACTCAATAATATAGAGAAGTTAATAAAACAATTAGAAACGAACTAAAACGCGACATACAAAAATGGAACGAGAACTTAATAGAGCGAGTCATTGAAAAGAACAGAGGCTTAAAATGTCTAAGACCCGAACTGGGAGTTCAAAAAATCATGCCCCCTTAGGGCTCTTGTTAACGAACGTTTTTTTCAACCGGTAACGGATCGATGCTAAACGGGTACCCTTGTTGACGGTTCATAATTTTCAAAAGATATGCGTCCGTTGGCGGTATGGAATCTCCGAAATATCGTCAGTTTTATGTATGAATTATGATATTAGTATAACAGAATAAAACTTTCGGTTATAAAATAATTAAAAAAAAAATTACAAACTTAATAGATTTTTTATCATTTAAGAATATGCAATCTATATATAAAATAAAAATTATTGGTGAAATAACTTATTAAAATCTACATATAAAAATCCATATTTTAGCGGCAACAAAGAAAGAAATTTATTGAAACAACGGATGCTCACCCAACGCCGTTAACACACTTCCATAAACTAAAAAGGTTCACTGAGGGTTCACGGTACCGTCCCGTCGAACGTCTTGCCGAGGGGGACTGGATACGTAGACGGTGAAAAGTTAACCGTGAGTTGGTTGCCGTTGCGTGAACACACATTCATAAGAACCTGAAAGACACTGAGCAACGTCCAACGGGACGGTGTCAAAAACGTCACGTTGAACGTTGTCGTTAACAAGAGCTCTTAGGGTGTTAAAAGACATATTTCTATGTAACTTTTGTTATTACTCATGCCTTTTTTATGTTTATTGCTCCTATAGTGTATTTTTATGTATGAGAGAGTAATAAAATAATAAATTATGTATGCAAATCCCTAAACTGTTGATACGGGTGACTCAATGAAAAACAGATATGTGTCAACAAGTTTACAGAAGTATATAGGAAAACAATTTTAAATTGAGTATGACCACCAGGTATAAAGGTTGGAGCAGAATAGAATACAATAGTTGTGAGGGTTACTAATCCCTAAATAAGGTTGCCAGTGTCGGAGTGATGGAGGTTAACAGGTACTAATGAATTTGCAAGAAATGTAAGATGTTTATTTGATTGGTTATATATAACCAATAAAAGTTTAATAAGTACCTACCTATTTGCAAAATAAAGTTTAATTCTTTAGATAAAATAAAACGTTTTATTTTATCTGAAATGAGTGCATTCCACGAAGTAAGGGTTTCAACAATCAAACTACGACAGTAATTGACTAGATAATTACCTTCTAAACTTATTCCACAGAAAATGTGATAGTGGGTTTTTCCATTTTGTAGGAAGGTCCAAGTGGCGTATTCAAAATTCTTAACAGTTCACTAAAAGTAGGTACTTCAGTTGCAAGGTGCAGTTTATTGTGTATACTAGTGTTATGGAAAATTTGGAAGTGCCGTGTAAACGCCGAAAAATTGGTCCTTTAACAGTTAATGAAAAAACATTAATATTTAATTGTTTTAAATCATTTACAGACAAACCTTTATGTGAAAGTGTCGATGAGACCGTTGAGTTAGTTAGCAGTACACTTGGTGTTGGGAAATCTACGATTTACAGAGTTATTAAAGAAGAGAAATGTGGTAGTTTTCAAATGCCACGTAATGCTCCAGGGAAACCAAAATTTCAAATAGAATATCATTTTAAAGAAGGACTTCGACGGAAAGTGCATGAATTCTTCTTTAGACAAGAATTTCCAACATTGGATAAAGTTCTTGTCTCAGTTCGAGATGATAAGGATTACCCAGAAATGAGTCGAAGTACGTTATGGAAACTTTTAAAAGAAATAGGCTTCCGCTGGAAAAAGAATCCCAGAAAGTCTATTTTATTAGAAAGAAGCGATATTGTCATATGGAGAAGACATTTTCTAAGAACCATAAAGGAAATGAGAAACCAAAAAAGAAAAATATTTTATCTTGATGAAACATGGATCAACGAGGGTCATACACCAAATAAATTTTGGCAGGATGAAACTGTTACAAGTCAAAGGCACGCTTTTGTAAATAACTTATCTACTGGTTTAAACCCACCATCAGGAAAGGGACGCAGGCTGATAATAGTACACATTGGCAGTTCAGACGGTTTTGTTGAAGGTGGTTTATTAACTTTTGAATCAACTCGTACCGGTGACTACCATGAAGACATGAACGCTGATGACTTTCAAGAATGGTTCGAACAAATGATAGATCTTCTTCCTAAGAACTGTGTAATAGTAATGGATAATGCAAGTTATCACTCCAGACTTATAGAAGGACTGCCCACAACCAAGTGGTTAAAAAAGACTTGCAGAATTGGCTGAGTTCAAAAAATATTACGTACCATCTCGGATCTATAAGAAAGGAACTTTATTCGTTGTGTGCCCTTCATAAAGAAAAATTTAAAAAATACGAAATTGATGAAATTGCCAAAAATCGTGGAATGACAGTACTTAGATCCCCACCATATCATTGTGAATTAAACCCGATTGAACTGGTATGGGCACAGATAAAGAGTGAAGTTTCAAGAAAAAATACCAGTTTTAAAATTCATGATGTTAAACAGTTGTTTTTGGAGGCCGTAAATAATGTAAAACCTGAAAACTGGGAAAAGGCAGTAAATCACACTATTAAAGAAGAGGAAAAAATGTGGAAGCTGGACAATATTACTGATAAAATGATCGAGCCAGTTATTATAAATCTTGGTTCTGAAAGTTCATCTTCTGAATCTGATTTGGATTTGTAACAAGTAGCTGTAAGTTTTATATTAATATTTTTATTCATCTATTTAACATACCTTAGACGGTTTTAAAAACTCTTTTTCTCTTTTGTAATTTTTAGAAATTAAAAAAAATGTGAATTTTTTCAAAACCCTTTTTAATGTAGGCCAGTCAGTTTTAATATAGTGTGTGATAAAAGAGGTCACTTTTGTTTACATACACATAACACTTTATAACACTGAAATAATTCATTTATTTTTACAATTATTCAAAGTAATTTTTCAATTAATCTTGAGCACGCCCATGGAGTGGTCGAAGGTACCAGTTAAAATTATGCTAATTACTCTCTCGTTCATAAAAATAAACTATAGAAGTTTTTGTACTTTTTCGCAATTGTTTAAATAAATTATTTTAAATTATAAATAAAAAAAAAACAAAAATAAAAGCTTTTAAGTAGGAAAGAAGGATTGAAACAAATTTTAAAATGTGATTTTTGGTAATGATTACTATAAAATTAATGTATAAACAATGACGCCGTTATTTTAAACTGATAATTTTTGACATCAATCCATTATTTTCATAGCAAAACTACAATTTTTTCAAGGATTCGTTGTGAAACGAATTATTTTATATTTTATTTTTTGTCTATTGGATAAAAGTAATAACAATTGAAATGGTACGGTCACCTACATGAACAAATAAAGAAAGAACACCATTAAATCTTTGGACACTGGCGTAAATCATAAAAAATGACGAAGACCATGAAAAATATGGAGTTTCAAAAATGGTTGTTATATTCAAACATTAAACAATAATCTAATAAACGTAAAACTAAAATAAACTTTGCTATTATAATGCTATTATTTATATAAGCAGACTTACGATTTAGATCATGATAATAATTATGAAAATTTAAGTAAGTATAGATTTGGTTTAAATATAAAAATATTTACCAATAGTTACAGCATTCGTCGTCACACAATGTAAGTTACCACTATATTGTATCTATTATTTCAGATCATTAATAAACATACCCGTCCTTATCAACACGATTTTATTATTTTATCATTTTTATTATGTAACTTGATACGCGAATCTTATAATAATGTGTTTAATTCTTTTGTCTCGCTAATCAGTGTCTCGCACAATATTTTTATTTAATTTTTTTTTTAGAGAAAAAAAAGGAGCTTTTTTACAGTCTAAATTTTAAAATTGTTTGATAAAGTGTGCCACGCTCGTTGTCGTTTCAAGCGTGGGCATCATCATATTAACAAGTGCTGGAATGCTTCTATATTCTAGATCAGTGGACCGCAATGTGGGGCCCACGCCATATAGTGGAGCAATTTGATTGGTTAAGAGGGGAAATTTGAAAATGGACTTAACACGAGTTTAATCCTTTCACTCCAGGCTATTTAGATGCAATGATATAGTTCGGTGTTAAATTTAACGAAAAAAGCAAATTCTTATTTTGTAGTCATTGCCGTAACTAATTATTAGGTATAATTTCGCTAGACGAGACCAAAATATCAATTGGGTGGTTGGCGTCGTCAAGTAAACTTCCCTACGGTAGACGGCAGGCTCCACGGGAAACTCCGGACGTTTTAAAATCTCGGCGTTCTGAATTAAGTAACTTCTAACTTCGCGGAAGATGGACGGGCGGGGGATTCCTCAACCCCGACACAGCGCGTCCCATTGGCTGATAGGGAAATGTCCTATAGATATGTAGGAAAGGCTATCAGGCCATCAACTAAGTTTTACTATTTTTACAATAAATTTTAAAAATTTTATAATGTATGTTGTCCATAATTGTATATTTTAATGTGTGTTAGAAATCATGAATGTGTTGCTTGTGTGAGTCCATTTCAAATAGGTAAAGAAATAATAAATAAGACTTACTCACAAACAATTTAACAAACTTATAGAATTGTTGCCACAAACTTTTCATATTAGTTTTCCATATATTACCCTAATAATTACATATTATTCAGAAGTAACTTCAATATTATGGTCAAACAACATTTATTTCAGAATTCCATATATAATCAAATGCATTTGATACACCTCTTAGATTATTTAAATCTTCTACTTCAAAATTAAAATCAGGTCCCCTTGGATCTAGTTCTTTGTTCACAGAATTTCTTTAACATACCTACTACCAGAAACAATATTTTCCTAAAACTACATTAAACATCAGTATTGAACTGGTATGGTACCTCAACTTATTTAACCCACAATTATTATTACATTCCATATGGTTCCGAAATATACTCATCTTACAAAAAAATTTGATTTCAAACTCAACATGTGGTTTGAGTATCCCCAACAAAACACGTTAATCATTCAGACTAGCTGTATTAATTGAATACATCTTTACTAATTACAATTATACACAAATTTACAATTCAAATAGAAATATTAATTTTCAGAAACAGCTATTAATTGAAAATTTTTTTAAAGTGTTACTTAAAACAATTGTACAAACTCACCATTGTCCATGTCGGTGTGAGGAATATCTGTTCATATGACACGGAAAATTGAAATAAGAATAAATTTACTTTATACCGGTTTAAATAGAGGATCATTCTACCTGTTCGTATAACAATTTCCCGTTCCAACTGTCAGATATTAGAACTACCAACTAATTATTAAAGGCTTTATAATTCAGTCAATTTCTTGAGCCCAGAAATTAATTACCATCAATAATTATCAATTTGTTGCTTTGGTTACATATTAGTATATTAGATAATAATATATTAATATATCAGAATTTACAATAAATATCTCAAATAATTAAAAAACACCCTGACAGATAACTCACACCTACAAAAATTTCAAATAAAAATAAAAAACTTTGTAAACTTATTATACATTTGATTATAAAATGTACATGTTCAGTTGCCAAAGAATCACTTTAATTTGTTCAGTAATTTGGACATTAGACTGAGTTAGTTATATTGTAGGATGTATTTCAATTATCCGTATTGTTACATTAAATTTGATTAATTAAAGATTGTTAAAGTATGCCAATATTAAACACATCAATTTACTTTTGATATCTTAATTGAAACAATTTATAGACATTCATTAATAACAGCATATTTCATAAAACTAGATAACTTAACTTACAGTATTGAGAAACAGAAGAAGAACTGTCACATGCTAACCTACATCTGTCAAATTTACCACTAAAATCTAATAGATAAAACATAAAAAAACTCATTGTGCCCAAGACTGAGATGTAGTGCGTTAAAGTCCTTCCCCCTTTTAAATTTAATGTTTGTTTCGTCCCTTCTAAGTGTTTTCTATTTAAGTGTGTTTAAACTGTCCTTAATTGTTTGTATTCTAATATTTTATTTACTTGACTTTTAAATAATTTACTTATTGCCAATAGAACTTTATCAAAGTAATTTGATAACTACAAGTTGGAAAATAATTGCACACCCACACAATTTTTACATCTAAACTTATTCATTGTCATAAAACTGTCACCTTCATAAAACAATTACTCAATAAATAACACACATTTCATAAATATATCTCTCGAATAAGTATAAATAACTTTTAATAACACAATGGTATATTACATCACTTTCATTTAACAAACAACCACACACATATCTCTTCTTCATTGGATCAAATCTATCTCCTCAAGAACTTCCCGTTTACTGTCAAACAACTGCAATAATAGAATTGAGTTCTCCATTCAACAATACATAGTAGTTTCAACCATGTTCTACCATCCATCAATTAATAGAGTACCGGCATGTAAGTAATGTTTATTTTATTTATTTGCTCATTTATTAATTTATTTCAATCTAATAGACTATTTTATAACAATTTGTGGGCTTTACCTTGTCTGTTTAAACTTTTTAAAACTTTTATACTTTTTAATTCAACTTACTCTTTTAAATAAAACCACAGACATGTAATATTGGCATAATTATTGTAATTTACAACATCTACTTTGTTTATCGTTATTAGACAACACCCTAATATGGGTTTTTATTATTTCAGCATTTGTTTAACTTTGTATCAAGACCTGAGGATGCTCTGCATATTGTAGAAAGCGAAACCGGTCGTCTGATAGTTAAATTAAATTGATTGTGAGTAAGTCTTATCTAAATTCAAGAAGGTACTGACTTGTTCTGAGTTCGATCTTCAACTGAGACTAAGGTTTACTAAGTGCTACGTATGGTCAGTGCTGCTATATGGCGTAGAGGGCTGGACACTCAAAACGAGAGATATAAACAGATTGAAAGCTTTCGAAATGTGGCTTTATCGCCGTATCCTAAAAATACCATGGACAGCGAAAATCACAAATATAGATGTCCTTAAAAGAATAAACCAAGAACGCCAACTTTTCGAAACCATCAAGAAAAGGAAAACGGCGTATCTAGGTCACATCATGCGAAATGAAAAATACCAGTTCCTCCAACTTATAATCGAGGGTAAAATTGAAGGCAAGAGAGGAATGGGACGCAAGAAAATGTCCTGGCTCCGAAACATAAGGCAATGGACAGGGATTAACGACATACAATCTCTGATACATATTGCAAGAAATAGAGAGTTAATGAAAAATGTGATCGCTAACATCCATTAGTGGATTTGCATCTGAAGAAGAAGAAGAAGTCTAATTTATTATTTCTTTACCTACGTGTTATAAATGTTGAGTGTCAATGCTTATATAAATACTCTCAACGACTATGTCTTGAAAAAGGAATAAAACCATTCCGAAAGCTCGACAAAAAGTCAAAAGAGTGTTTTTTTAACATCCCGGCCAATATTCTGACTGCAACCCTAATAAACTGTGTTGTTTATTTACATCGACAGTCACTAATATCCAGTATTTCTTATATATATATATATATATATATATATATATATATATATATATATATATATATATATATATATAGATTAATACTATTACTAGAATTAATATTAAACTCAATAGGCTTCCGGGTTAAACCGCGTCGATTATCACTGCGCCGAGCTTTCGACATATTCTCTGAGGTCTTCTTCAGGACTTCCGAGGTATTAACCTCTCAAGCCTCCAGACACTACTGCACTGATCACTAATAAATGCATTACTGACAGTGGGTGATATATTCTGTGCATATACTAATTGTGGTTGCGCGCGTTAAGTACCTGGGCAGTTGATGGAAGCATATTTAAGAGAAGAGAAACACAGCTCAAACATGGTTGCCAAAGTTCAGCATAATGTGACACTAAAGACCTTAGAGACTAGTGTGTCCATTTAAGGGTTAATAAAATTTTGTATATTTGACGTAGCAACACCAATGTATCATTTCAACACATTTTCAACAAGTGCATTTCTCAATGCACTGCAATTACCTTTAGTTAAATGTTTGTTTAAGAAGCGTGATCCCGTTTAAAAATGCACCGAGTATAATGTTCCAATTCATATGGCGTTCGTCGTTTTCCATAAAGCATTTGATTCCACTGAATTATGGGCAATATCCAAGAACTAAATGATATGTTACAACAATTAAATGCAGTTTCAGGGGCGGTAGGCTTAAAAATAAACTTCAGCAAAACAAAAATACTGAGCCGAGACCAAACAAATATAACAATACAAAATCATACCATAGAAAATGTTGGATATTATGTACATCTAGGTCATGTTATCAAACTAGGAAAACCAAATCAAGATGCTGAAATTAAAAAAAGAACACAACTGGCATGGGGCGCTTTCGGCAAACTAGCATATATCTTGAAAAAACACATCCATTCCTGTAAACTTAATGAAAAAGGTGTATAACACATGCATACTACCAGTTTGTACCTATGGCTTGGAGACAGTAGCCGTTACCAAAAAAATGTGCTAAAAAATTAGAAACAACGCAAAGAGCAATGAAACGAATCATGCTTGGAATATCACTAAGATGCAAGAGTAGAAACACCGAGATAAGACGTAGAACGAAGATTGGGGATATTGTGGAAGAAATTACAAAAATGAAATGGCGCTGGGCAGGTCACGTAGCCGTAGAAAATTTTAAAATGGAGACCAAGGACGACAACAAGAAGCATGGGAAGACCTCAAAAAAAAATGGGTAGATGACATAAGAGCAGTGGTAGGCAAATGGTGGATTAGATTGGCGCAAATTGTTGACAAAGAGAGATCCCGAACTCCAAAAAAAGTTATCGTTTTATCAGTCTGCTTCATTCTTTCTTCAAATTATAAGAATCAGCGATGTGTTGAAGGCTCCCAAGGTTTTTTGTTAATTGCTTTATTAAGTCAT